TCCTTCCTCTTGACCATGCCACCCCAAGAATTTTTGTGCAAATCAAAGCAATTAATGCACATGCATATGGTTCCACACATTTTCCAGACCCTCCACCCTTCAAACAAACTGTAAGCTTACTCTACTAATTTTTGGGGGATTGAGGGAGATAAGAGCACTGAAGGTGCAATGTTGCAAAGGGAATTAAGAAAAAGAATCCCATTCATGCCATTTCCAGCAATCTGAGTTAAAAGAGCTTTTCTGATAAAATATCATGTCCCCTGACTCCTACTCAAAAATACAACAATGATAATAGGATATAAAACTAGTTTACCTAATGGAATTTGATGACATAATAACACTGATTTCATGGGAATTGATCCAAAAACCATTAAAACGACAAATGATTCAAATGACAATATACCAACTATACTATTACTCTATCTAATAACGTGAAAAACACGAAAAACATTTCATCGAACGTCGCACGTAATAGATGTCTAATCAAATTACTAAGAGTTGACAGATTTCAATTACCCGCTTTTTATATCCAGTTTGTACATTACTAAATCTAGTTTTAAAGGGATTATAAAGAAGTTTTCGTAACTTTTGTGTATCGTTGACACTGAAAGCATCAATTTGCAACCTACCAATTTTCAGTCAGATATCTGTGGTTCTTGCAATTCCACTAAAACTAAGTGTTTTATGACGTCTCTATCACAAAGGATAGTAATATTATCTAAGGACCTGTGACACTTACAGACATCTGACTGCGAATTGGAACGGTGCACATCTTTTCTAATCAGGTCGCTTGTCTGAATGATGACATGAGATGTGTAATGTGTACCTAGTGTTTTCAGTCAAATTTTCTGGTGTTTTCTTCACCACAGTATCAGTAGCCTTGACTACTATAGAATGAAATTGATAGTGGTAGTTTATAACTAGTTAGATACGTGTTAGGTTTTTAACAAGAAAACAGATGTTTTATCTCTTCAAAACCTTCAACCTCTAACCTTCTAACCTTATTTATAAGTAAACATTATCATTGACCTTTACACACTCAAATCTTCTTTATTTTCCATTTAATTTTTGCTAATAACCTTAATTTGCATATCAAGCGCCCTTGAATATTTGTTATTATATATAGATGTTTGCACCACTTCCTACCCCCCTTCCACATCATCACACATGAACACTAATACGCCTAATTCCACCCCCACAAATACAGTCATAAACATTAATGGATAAAAGTTATATACTACTCACTGTAACAAATAGCCATTACATAGAATTGATTCCAAACACAATATAATACATTAACAGTATGATTAATATCTTAAACTACTAATATCCCTGTCAATAATAACCCTGTTGATGTCAATAATGGACCAGTAGACATCAATAACGGACCAGTTGAATAATACTCTATAGAGCTCTCTAGGAGGTATATCAGCTGTTATTGATTTGAGGGAATTTCTGACACAACTATATTGATCATGGGGAGGCAGGAGGCTGGGATTAATGGGGAAAATTAGGAAGTATAAAGAACTATTTCGCTATCATTACCAATCCAGTGCTGTCAATAACGGCCTTTTGCTTTAGATATTGGCCCACTTGATGTCAATATATTTACAGAAGTACTGTGTTATATATGTAAATGGTCTACAAAAGCACTAGTAATGCCACAAACTAGGAATTTCACTTTCTATATATACATGTCTTTTATACATGGAAGAGTATCAAGAAAAGACAAGGCACACAAAAAAATAAATAAATATTCTGCTACTATCATGTACAATTCAAAAGTTTGTCCATAAAAGAAGGATTAGACTCAACATTGGAGACAATGATCAAACATATTCTGTATGTGGATATAAAGGAAAGATCTTATAGCTTGAAATATTGACATACAGCAATGTAAACCTCTTTTAACTATTGACATAGCTTCCATAATAATTACAGTTGATTCATCTTTTATTTTACTCGGTAGTTCTCTTGTTTATCTCCTCACAAAGAACTAGACTTGTTTTCGATTGGAAATATTTGTACACGATTTAAGTAGGTTTGATGAGGGTTTACGTCCTCTGTAGAGGCTTGTTACCAAATCTGGAATATTTTACTTGCTAAGACTAGCATAGAAGGTCTCTGTTAATGTCCAGTCTGTTTTACAAGTCACTTTTACATGTCAATGATTATTTAATGATGAAAAAATATTAAGAAAGAATGAACTAATATTCTTTTTACAATGATAACAACTTAGGACCAGCTGATCCTTGGCCAAACTTCTTGTCATCGATATTTCTGAATTATCCGTACCCACTAACAGCTAATATTAGATAACAGGTGATTCATAATTGAGATGAAAATGAAAGTAGACACCAAGCACCGCCCTGAAGTATTTCCTGAATACAATGACAACTAGGTACAAGTACTTCCCTTCAGTCTAAACTGTTAGACAATAGATAACTGTATAACACTTGTACAACGCTTTCATCATAGGAAATCATTCAATAATGCCATGCAGTGTACAATGAGGGAAATTTTGTTTCCTCTTACTCTACACTAGTAGTAGTAGACAGAAGAATTAACAACCACCGCCTTTGTTCTCTTCTCAAAAAAATTCACAGACAAAAATTAATCAAATTTAAAAAATAAACTAGCTACAAGCATAATAAAATCATCTTGTTAATTATTTTCTATTATCAGTTTAATTAACGACTAAGTGCGACTAATTAGCGATCAGTTATATTGATATGTTAGAAGGTGGAAATTAAAAGAGAAAATCGTGACTGGACATAAGAGAAAACATGACTCTTACTTCTATTTCCAGCCACACATGTAACGAAGACCATATGTTCTCATAGAGGGTCTATGACACGCTCTCTTAGTGCATTGTTTCTTGATGTTATAATCAAATGAGACAAATGGGTGTCATGAAATGGAGTTTTACATCCTATTTTCTGTACTTGATTAAGTAAACAGGCCAGTGTGCAATGAAGGAGATTTTACTTTTACATATCACTTATTATGACCAATGTAAAAAAAACAGAGTTCATTATTTCATTACATACTGGTACTTCAATATCGGCCCCTGTGTTTTTCATTCATGCTTATCTCTGCTTATGACCTGATGGAACCCAAGACCTGCTTGTAAGATAGTGTCTAGAACTCAATGAGCCATTCAGGCTTCAGGGCAAGCTAAAGATATAAAATGGAAGAGGATTCATTATAACACAGTAATAAGCTGATAGTTATTGATTTTATGAGACACATGTATCAGTTTCATCAATAACTGACCGGTCCACTATATTAGCCACTCTTCACTTCACAATTGATTGGTCACTACTAGCCATAGTTGAAGAGACAAAGACAATAGCTCTACTAGTCTCAGTTTCCAAACCTTATTTTAAATGTAAAGCTTCCAAAAGTTTGGCATTAATGCAATTAACTATAGGTACTATTTTGACTCCGCTTTTTCAATTCACATAAAAACAATCAATAAAACTTTAATAATTACTAACAAAATGTAATCTTTAGAAGACTATCAGTGCTATTTTGAGGCTTATCATCAAATTCAAATGAAAAAGAGTCAAAATTGGATATACACACAACTATGAAAAGACGCTAGACAATCGCCATCAATGACCTCAGGAATCCTAATTACTCTGTATTCCTTCCATAAATTGGCAACAGACTTGAGAAATGACAAGCAATTTGACAAGAATAGAAATAAATTGACAAATAACTGCAGTTTGACAGAGAACAGACAACAGAAGTCAACTCTTTCTCTATCATTAATGTCATGAGTTCATTAACACAAATACAACAACTCTAAGCCTCTACTGATAACTGACATGTCAAAGGTTATTACACCTGATCTCGGGCTGTCAGTAGACCTATATTAGTGCTGGGCTGCTGGCATGATATATATCGGTGAATCGATAAATAGTGATACAAATAACACACAATACATGTAATTAGTTCATTAGTTCTTAGTCCATTGCCCCATTTTAAGAATGGTAGAAATCCCTACTAATAAGGGTACTATCCCCTAACACAATAGTTTGGTCTTTGCAGGCAATAAGATCATTTGACTATATCCTGAGGAGATTACAGTATTAAAAAAATTAACACTACGACCGCTGAAATACAAGACAGCCTTATTTATTCCAACGGGTTGCTGTAGAAAACGGAATAATGAAATTGAAGATGCTCCGAATTTGTCCATTTTTAAAAAATTTTTGTCTGGTTTTCACTTCGAATGTGACACAAATGGTCTTAATATTATTGTCGTCTAATGGAAAAAGATCTGATATAAGCAAAAAATATCATAAAAAAGCCACAATTACCAATCTCGTCCCACAAATTCCAACACTTTCCGAAATTTTCTTCAGGGTTCAAGGCTGGGAAACCACCATTCTCGCCTTCGTGTCAGAAAAGTAATGTTTACTTTTAGTACAGAGTTTTCATTGGTGGATTTAGTCACGTGATAGGGGTAATTTAGATTTCCGTCCATGAGTGGCTTTGTTACTCGATCACCCAGACGGAAGTAAGAAATGCGAAGTTAATAATAAAGCCGGGTGATCGAGAATTTTTAACCGATTTGTTTACAATTTGGTGGGTAATTTAAAAAGTTAATTGAGCGTGAAATCATTTAATGGTTCGCCAATCGGAATGATCAAAAGGAGATAATGGATAAATGAGCAAATGTTACTTCCTTTTTCAGGTGTTGCCAAAGAATCTCGGTTTAATTCAATGAAATATTTCAATACCGCTTCATAGGGAAAAGTCGGCACATTTCGATCATAGTGAAAATTGTGTAATAGTTCAATGAATACATCTATGAACACGCATGAATTATACTAAGCCCAATCCATCAGAAAAATATAAAACTACACTTGATAACTACAAAAAAGTGCAGCTTGAAGTTGAATTTGATCATTGCAAAGGGCAGATAATTCAATAGAACTATAGATTCCAGACCACAAAAAACGTATTTGATAAAGAATGGACCACATGAAATGCAATCAATCACTACAAGATGTTTTTATGGCTCTAACCTAAAGACGCTTCAACAGAATTTTAGGGAAAACATCGCTGGTTTAACTAACTCTACAGAAAACAGCAACATATCACCTGTAGAACAGGTGGTGCAAAAGAGCAAATGCATCGAAAAAACATATGCTAACACACGATATGGAAAGAGAGATTTGAAGAAAATAAAATTTGATGCTGATGGATTCAAGGTACCTCAACAAGAAGCTCCAAACTCTACGACTGTTCAAAACTTCAGAGAAGTACGGTCATATATAGTGCGTCGAGCAGAACTGATCCGGTTGCTGGAACAAAATCCAAGAATCACTTCATTGCGTCTGCCCAAGCTACCAAGTCATCTGAGGAATACAAAGATCAAAGAGTGGGTCAATTTTAAAAAGCACCAAGCTGCCCACAAATCATGTCACTCCATATCATATGTCAATGGATGTACGCGTATTCGAATTGCTGCTAATCATCAGATAGATATTCAAAGTTATTTGAGAAGAGAGGCAGATAATCGATCAATTGTACCAGCATATCAGAGATCCAATTGTTCAAATCCAAGTGTATCAGCATTTGAATCTAACGATCTAAGTGATGCACCTACTCAGGCTTCGAAGAGGTTCTGTTTTAGAGAAGATGCTATAGGAACGCCATCGTCATCTTATTACCCAAAGTCAAAAGAATGGATTTCTAAGTCACATGGAAAACAAACAAATGAATCGTTGGAAGAAGTTTGTCCTAAAGACCTCGTTGATGAACCTGCATCCTACGGACTAGAAATGATAAGACAGAACTATGAGGAATCAACCAAAAGCCAGGTTAATGAACAAAATGATTTAATAAATGTAGATCATCATGATAGCACAACAATTGGTGCATGTGAAGACCATTATAACCTTCCAAAAGTAAGGACTTTTGATCGATCATATTTGGATTCCATTGGTAAGCTAAACCATTGTTTTGTAAGTCTTAAACGGATTGACCAATCCAGAAACAGATCTAGTCCTTTGGAACATGGCTTACAAAGAAACAGGAAAATAATACCCTGTTCAGCCATTTTGGATCCTTTGCTAATGGATGCTAGAAGCAGTAGGTATAACAACAAAGTCTCTTTCCCAAAAGACAAAACAAACCATTATGGAACAAAGTGCAAATTTCAAGAGCATGGGAATGCATTGGAGAATTCCCTTAAGCCATGTTATGTTAAACTAAAAAGACTGGATTCGTGGCTAGCAAGTGATTCAGGTATAAAATTACCACTTACTGTTGAAAAATCTCCGACTGTACCATATGGGATGACAGCTGTCAAAGAATGCTTTGTGAAGCTTCATAGGATGGAAGTTAAATGCCCCAATAAATCAAGAACCACAACATGTGTGATGCTACCAAGGGTTCACAGAAGTTCCAAAATGTGTTATCAAAATCAGAAGGGTCAGGAGTTTGGGAAACAGCTAGATTGGACTGTCTGGGAACCAGATTTAAAAAGATGTTCAGTATTGATGGAGAGACTAGAATAAGTATTGGGTTCCTCCAGAACAGGATTTGTCAAGCTCCTCCAGAACAGGATTTGTCAAGCTCCCTCAGAACAGGATTTGTCAAGCTTTGGTATATATATGGATTATATTAAAGGGACCTAGTTGTCTAAATATTTACTTTACCAGATGGTATTAAGAGCTCTCTTTAAACTTTCGTTGACTGCAGGAGAGCCAACAATCAGAAAAATGATACAAAGCTGAAATTAAGCTCTAACAGCTGGTAAACAATATTTAAACAACAAAGTTTTTGAGTACTTAAGACACATCATTGTATGCGTGGGTGAATTAATTTTTTGATAGCAGTTCTGAGCACCCTTTTTCATTCTGTCTTTTTTCATTTTGTCTGTTGTTGCCTAATTTTTGTTATGTTTTTATGTATTTGAGAGTAAATGGGACAGATTTATTTTAATTAATTCATGCCTGACCAAAAAAATGCAAGTAGCAGATTTATTGCTTTTATCATGCCTTGCTTTTGCTTTGAATATGAAAATAACCTCAAAATTCTTCTGATAATGTTTTATTTACAAAAAATACATTGCTATTTTAATTAGTCTTTTTCTTTTAACGAATTCACCAAACAATTCTGCAGGACTGGATAAACTTTCTGACAATTCTGTATACAGGTTTTAACAGCCTGGAAAAACAAGACACAATCGATTATTAAACAGTTGAAAAATGTGATACAGACATCTGAATTTGAATTCTATCAGCTGGTAAAGCAACGTTTTCATGTACAAGACACACTTCCATTAAAATTTCTGAAGTTTAAACAAACCTGAGAGGTCGTATCAAAGTTTAATTCTCCTTTCGAGGTCAAGGCTGATATTTGATTGATGGATGGCATGAGGCCTAAAACCACGCCCCCTTCATCAACTCCTATATTAGTCTGCAAAATAACAAATTAAAACAAACTGACTCAAACGGATAATGGCAAAGGAAAAATATAGCGTCACAGAAAATCCACAAAATAACAGATAAATTTGGGAAAATACGAATATTGAAAATGTATTCTCTGGGTAGGGCTGTGCCTCCCCCTCCTCCTCCCTCCCCCTCCTTTTGTCAACAAAAAAGTGGTCTTGTCTCATTAAAATACCTACATTTGAGTGAAATTCCTCCTCTTCACAAGGGTCAACTAAAATTTCGTTACCATGGATACGCTGAAAAATTAACAGGACAATGAAAAGGCACTCAAAAGTAGTTTTCTAGCCTTAGTATGTGTATACTGGACACTTATATATTTTAATTGTATCATTCCTTTTTCCAATCAAACCATTCAAACCAAAATATTTTCAAAATTCCCTTAAGGCATTCTGTTATCACATGATCTAGGTTATTATCTTATCCAAATTTCTCCTTTGCGTTCCTTTGCATGTCCAAGCCAACCCTTACAAGCACCATTGACTCGCAGGAACCTGGATAAATGAAATGGTCATATATCAGTCAAATACAACTTATACCAAAATTATAATTACCACAGAGGAACCCACTACTAAGTCAAACATTTCGATACCAGCGTGAGCTAAAGCTAAGGAGGCACAGGTTATAGACGCTGCCAGGGCTGAAAATAAAAGAAACGGGGGCTTTGAGTTTTGAACTACAAGAGTTATATCCCTTTAGAGAATCAAGTCGACAGGATCCCTTTTAACCATATGAATAGGCAATGAGGGAAATTTCCCCTGGACAATTAGATATTCAGCATAGCTGCCACTAATGCTAGTATAATTTTTAATTTGTATTCTAAAAAGTGATATGGATGGTTGAATTCGAATGATTAACCAAACAACAAAAAGAGCTCACAAAGAAATAAAGGACTTACCACTGCCATCATTTTGTAAAACTGTTAAATATAAATTGACTTGAGATTTGGGGAATTTATCCTGAAAGTTAACATTAAAAGATGGATCAAAAATTAGGGCTTTAATAAAGGATACAGTTGTCAAGCTATTTGGATGCATATACGGTGAGTGGGTGCTTCAAAGCACACGATGAGTAAACTAGACTAATGAAGACATCAGACTATCACATGTCACACCAAGATTAGAACCCACAACCACCAATCGTTCGAAGTAACTAAGTAACTAAACAAATGACATCATGTAAAGATTCCAATGCTCTTACTGACTGTGCTACAGCCAGCCTGCATAAGTTGGGAGCTAGTATATACTTACAAGCTGTACTGCTGGTTCCAATGCTTCCAGAAGTTGAACAGAGTAATCCTTTTCCTCACTGTCTTGTTGGTGACCACGCTTCTTTTTACACGAAAATGTGGCAAATTTAAATTCACAAGTGATCTGCCCTTTCATACTAAAATCTTCTTTCCTGATCACTTCACGAGGCCCATAACTAATAATATATATATCAAAATTATTTCACTTGCTATGTGGATTGTTGTCAATTTGACAAGCTAGGTTATAAAAGCTCAAATCAATAGGTTTTACCTGGAGTGGGCAATAACAGGGCAAAAGCTGTACCCATAAAAAAAACATGAAACTAAACATTATTGAGGGAAGAATTTTTATGATAAGTTTATTGATCAAGAAGCTACTTACACAGCACAAATAACTTTCGTATGATTCTGTTCAATATAAGCTGATCCTTTAGCTTGGCTTATTAACCCTGGACGTAAAACTGAAAGAGACAGAAATGTCACGATTGAACACCATGAAAAATTGGATTTCCTCGTCCTTGCATTCAAAATCAGTCATATTAAAGCCAAAGTCTTGATGAAATGATCCACATAGATTGTGTAATTATAAGGTAGATTATTTTTGCAATTTCCTTTTAACTGCAGCACATAGGAAATAGTACAAAAAGGAAAACTTGTGTTGAAAAACTTAAAAACAAGAGGAAGCGCAGATTTTTAAAGGTGAAACTTACAAAGAGGCCTTGCCTGATCTGGCTTTCGTCCATCCCTTCGTTTACCATTGATGATCAACTGAAAAATAAATAGATACAACAGTGAGAGTACCGATTATATTAGTAAACAAAACACAAATGAGAATCGCTTAAAAAATCTTTTACAAGACAAGAAACAAGAAATGCACTTACTTCGCCTTTTTCATTGCCATTTATCAAGAAATTGTACGGGTTTTTAGTGATTTCTGGTCCACAAATCCTTTTCGAATCAACCGGCATTATTTAACTCCGAAAAATGTCGTAATTATGCCTCAATAAAAAAAGAAAGTCCGCTTTATTTACAATTTAACGTGATTTCATGGGCGCCGCCATCTTTAATTTTGAACCTGTTCATTAGAGTTATCCCCCTTTGATTATCACACCATAGAGGTAATTTAACTCTATGCATCACATCTGCAATCAGATCAACATCAGAGAAAACTGGTAAAAATGGCACCAGAAATAAAAAAAAATAGGGTAAAGACAAACACAAGTGATTTATATACTTGTAACAAGATAATCTAATGGCTAAACAGCTCCGATTACGCTTACTTTGTCTGCATTTTGAGATTTTTGACCGACTGAATACCCCCCCCCCCCCTCCCCCTCTTAACAAGTGAGTGCCTATACCCCTTCCCTTAAACCATTCTGTGTCCCCTCCTCCCCCGACCCCCTCCCCCTCCCGATCCCAATGCTTTATTTAAAGAAAAACCTAGGAGCGACAGTCCAATGTTTAGGCCAGGCCATACTAACTACACTCGTGCAACAAACACAAACCCATTTAGGTATGTATCGAAATTTCAACATGACATGGCATGGCAGTCCATTAATGTCAAATTCTATTGCTTTGCACTCGTCTAGTCATGTCTGCCTACGCTCTAGTGGACGCAAGTTAGTAAGATATGTGTCAGATTGACCCCAAGGCCGTTTCATTTAGTCATGTACCGGGAGAAATTAAGATAACGCTTATCATCGCTTTATAATCCCCCCATTATGATAATTTCTAAGTGAAAAAGATTGTATGCTGTCTGATATTCACGGGTAGGGAAAGGGTGAAGATTGAAAGGGTTGGATAAGAAAGGAGGAAGATCACTATCGTGGCACAAGGTGAGATTCAATGACCAGTTTGAGAATATCTTGATAAAGTTTCCGATCGATTAAATCCAACTATCATCTTCATCAAAATTACTAAATTGACTGATGCGGCTTATCGCTATCCGTGTCTTAAAAACCGATCTCCGGAAAATACGACTTTAGAAGACAAAAAGGTGCCCAACTGAACACTTCTCCGAGAAGGATATTTTTAGGATTAGGTTCGATCTTTATTTTAACCAGAGAAAACCACAGTGTATCGGAATTCACTAAACAATGGTCCAGTGCTACACAGGCTTTTTGATTTCTTTCGCATGTGTCATACGTGGTGCCTTTGGACTACGATTTTTACATTCTAAAAATGTCGGTTCCATTTCAGGCGGTAAGTTGAAGGGGTCGAAAAGAAGTTTTCTAGCTCATTTTTATGTATATCGGGTGCCATTTATGACTTTTGACATTCCAAATTTTTGGCAGATGTCTGTGTTTCCGTAGATGGCAGTTGGTGAAAAATGCGACTTCGCACTTAGTTATAGTGGAATTGCAAGACCCAAAGACGTCTTATTGAAAATTGGAATGGTGCAGATCGATGTTATCATGAAATTTCCGTTGGTCCAAAATAGCATCGCAGTCTAATTTACCTAGTTACAGACTGCATGGCGTTGTATGTCTACACCAGCTATAATGTACCATTTTATTCTTAGATTTTTACTATTCCAGATAAGATTTTCATCACCCACAATGACCATAAACATCCGAGTGCACGATACAGAAGAGACATCCCAGGCATGCCGGCAGAATTCAGCTTTCATTTTCAGCACGAAAATAAGCACTTGCATTTTAACCTAACACGTGGTAAAGAACACATGACCATGCCCTTGTATTTGACGAATGCCGATCGTGAACTGTATCTAGCTGATGGCTTCACCCCAGAGCAGATTGTAAACCAGGTAGGAATCTAGGCTTAAATGATGATCTTGTCCACAATCTGCTTAAAATGTGGATCAAGATCAATGTTTTGTCTGTGACTCGGTCTTAGGCATCATCATCATGGGCAATATCATTGGCAGTATTATGAGCAGTATTATGAGCAGCATTATGGGTAGTATCATCATCAGTATCATGGGCAGTATCATCATCAGCATCATGGGCAATATCATCATCAGCATCATGGGCAATATCATCATCAGCATCATGGGCAATATCATCATCAGCATCATGGGCAGTATCATCATCAGCGACATCTTCTGTTATCTCCAATATTATAATCATATTCATTATAATCTGTAATTAATTTGTAGAAATCAGGAATATATCGCAGTAAAAATGGTGATGGCGTTTTCATGATTGAAAAAACTCCGAACAACCCAAACAACTACATTCTGGTAAGTGGTCAACCGTACACGGAACAGAAAAACCTCTTTTGTGTAGAGATCAATGGCGAAGACCCCCTTCTCCCCGAAAAGGAGCTCCCTGCTTAGTGTTGGTTGTGCATAAAAAGTAATCTGACCAGATGTGAATTGCAAATTCAATAGTTTCAGCCCTTTCTAAGTTCCAGGTCTAAAATAGGCACAATACGGAATGATGGTGTTAACCATCGCAAATTTATTTATTTTATCATGCCATTTTGTAGGGTGGAAATTTCTATCTTGGTAACAGACAATATACTTTAAAGCCTGGCATCCCGGACGAGGAAGAATTTGGTGCCCATTTTATTGAGGAGTATGGTCGAAGCAAACGTGACCTGGAACATGCAACCACTGTCCGTAGGATCGTTAACCTTGCTAATGATACAAGAACTAGCAAGTTATCGGGTAAGTTTAATTCGAGTAAAGTTGCGAAAAGACGAAGTCCGATGTGGTGTACGGTGCTGGATGATCGATCCATAAGAAAATGGACGTGATGGTCGGGACACGATGCGGACACGATCATTTTTTGCCAATGAGAATTCCAATGATGTCCGAAATGCTTTCTCTGTTTAATACTTTTGGCCTAGAATCTCCGCAATTCGGTGCAGAAAAGTAGGATGCAAAGCTCCATTCCACTCATTTCGGCTTACTATCTATCGTTGTTGTTTATGATTGGTCATCTCAGGTTACAGTGCAGCTAAACCAAAAGTAGCAGGAGATCCTGATCCAGAGTCGCAACATCGACATAAACGTCAAGTTACATCATATATCATAGAATTTTTCTTCTTCGTCGACAACAAAGACTATCAAAAGTAAGCTGTATTTCCATGAATGTTGTTGGGCAGCTGGATGTCTTATAGAATGGCCACAGTCGCGAAAATACGTCGAACTAATACCGAGAAACTCCTGAAAACACCCAGCCCATGCTCATGTCATCCGTGAATGGACAGATTGAGGACCTGACCCCCTCAACCTCCACCATGACTCAAAAATAAAAAAACAGGGAGCCGGAATGTTCGGATGTCCGACCCCTCCTCCCAACCCCCTCCCCGTTAATGAAATCCTGGATACGCCAGTGCCTACATATAAATGTATTTGATGGTATGTTTCAGTTTCTTCATCTATAATGGTAATAATTCAGCCGCCGCATTGGCCGATGTCATGTTGTTTTACGCCTTTATTGAAGAATGCGTGAGTAACTTCCTCCTCCCATTAAATAACTAAAGTGACCTAGTACATCAATAGTTTGAAATTATTTTCCCACTAAAGTGTATCCAGTATCACACTCCAAATCATATAGACTTGGCCGCGTATCCTCGAAACGCTCTTAGCGCTAGGATGTCTCAGGGTCCTTAATTTCTAACACTGATTCTAAGATATCCTTGCGCTAAGATCACCATGAATAGGTGGCCTGCTGTGAACAATCTCGAAACTTAATCTCGGTTCCGTTAAAGTATCTGCTTGTTTTTTACTAGGAGTGAGATTGAGCCCTGGAAATCTATTCCACTCTTATAATAACTCCAGTTTATTTCATACTACCAACACATGTTTCAAATATCACATTCCCAGCCAATGAATTTTATTTTCAACTGGATGATAACTTTCCAATTTAGGTCCTAAGCAAATTAAGCGAACAAACAGTATATGGTATATATAATTGACCACGTGCATTTCTCTATTTCAGATCAATGTGAAATATGCCACAATTCCAGAAACAGATGCGACCATTAGTGTTCAAATACGGTCGACAGGAATCAATATCGCACTGGTAAGATTATTTTTTCCTCCCTCCAATGGATTTTTTTCCCCTCAGAATTAGCCTTGGCACAATGGCAGTTTTCTGTCGTCAGAACACATGCTCTTCTGCATTTTTTCTGGGAGTGGGGGACTGTGGACTTGGTTCAACCACACAATATGAAAATGGTTCAGCTGACCATATTAAAGTACTATGAGTGGCTCAACTACCATCTAGTTGAAGAACTGAGTACTATCTGAGCACCATATCTGTTGATTTTGGTAATACGATAACAATTATCTGATCTTTTCAGCTCTCGATAGACCATCCTTGGATCAACAACAACTATATAAGTGGTAATTTAGTGAACACAAACCAAGCCCTGAACGACCTTGAAGCTTATGTCATTGCGAATGTTGGTAGTTTACCATCATCTGATCACTACATGTCTTTTACTGGAGCGGATCTTGATGGCGCAGCAGGTAACGGACTGAGTAGTGTTTAGAAACACGATGCTTATGCACAGTGAAATTTTGACCCGATAGCGGCAACGATTCATTGGCTCTTTCAAAATGCTTACAATTTGACTCAAGCGCTAAATTATTTCGCCCGATCTGAATAGCATACCCATTGGCTTTAAGCGAAGGATCATGAGGTGCAGAGATCATCAGCCCCAACAAAAACTTTGGATGACATGTACCCCGAACACCTTTGCCTCTTCTAATTTTCCAAACGCTGTCAATGACATATTGAATGAGAATTCTAAAGCACCCTAGTCCCTCGAAACCTACGCCTTTGAGTCTGATCTAATTTTATATTTTTTGTTTTAGGGATTGCTTTCGATGGTACGGTTTGCACCACATCCGGTGTCTCACTTACAGAAAACGGGTTTGATGGATTCACTTGTGGTATTGCTGCTCACGAGTTGGGACATTCGTGAGTATTCCAAATATTCTCGATCTCCTGCTCAAGAGAAAGTTACATTCCTGTTCACATGACATTTTGATCATACTTTGGGCAATATAAGAATAAATGTCATAACTAAACATATCTTTTCAGTAATAGATTTTATGACTTTTTCAAGGACTATATGGTGCCCGATGTATCTGTTTCAGAGAGTCCACAAGTTGTCACCTTTCAGAGAGTCCACAGCGAATAATGTTGGATATGCTTCTCTTTATTTCAGCCTTAGCTGTCAGCATGACGCAGAAAAAGGTCCGACCTGTAGCGACGCATCCAACAATATTATGGCTACAACTTTGGGGTTTCCCACCTCTAACGCCGACGCTGGGCACCCATGGAGATTCTCGCAATGTTCTGTAGCTGATATCAAATCCAAATTAGCCAGGTAAGCATGAAATAAATTGAAGCGCCATTGAGGTCCTGGTCGTGGAATTTCGACTATGTAGATTAATCAAGGAGGTTAAATAGATTACATCTCCTTGAATCCAATGCATTCTTCGCAACGTAGAAATTATGTTCTTAGTAGGATGCAAACTCTCATTCCAATTTCAGCGTGACGTGTGCTAATCCAGCAGAAACTACCACGCCCTCTAGTGCACTGTCCACTGGTGGCCAATTTGCAGGACAAGTTTACGACGCCGATGAACAATGTAAACGCATAAAGAATGATAGCACCGTCAGATTTTGTCGAGTAAGTATTAAAGATGTCGCAGACAGTCTTAATATTGTTTTTTGAAACAATTAATTTCAGCCTGATAAGAGCATGGTAGCTTTAAGAATTAAAAATATTATGAATGATTTTTACAAGCAAGGCAAACAGCAAATCCTATATTTTGTGCTTATTCTGTGACTTACTGCCCTTGACCCGGATATCGTTTGTAGAAGAATTACGGATTTTCACCTTTTAGGAGTCTGTCTCTTCTGGAGAAGAAACGTATGATTTTAATTTGTTTCTTAATCCGACTTTTCAGGACTTTTACTCCTCCTCTCCGAGCTTTGATGAAATGTGTTGGACCATGTACTGCGGAAAGGATGGCGAAAGCTGCTCTCAAATCATAGCTTATGAAGGAACAAGTTGTGGTAGTGGCAAGGTAAGCCTCCCCCCTCCCTTGAAAAATAACTTAACGGTCATTTTGGTTGAATGAATTGAATACATGTGCCTGGCTAGCATCACCAAACTATGGGTTATATTCTAGAAGGTGATCTACTGTTGTACTATTGTCTGTTTACTGAAACGCCGGCATCACCAAGCTATGGATTATATTCTTGAAAGTGATCCACTGTTGTACTATTAAAGACCAGGCATTACTAAAGTGAGCAGCAGTAATTTTATCATGTTTTCTTTGCTTTCAGTGGTGCGACAAGGGTTTGTGTGTTACCAATGCGAACGCTCCCAGTCGATTCTGTAAGTTTAATTATCTCATTTGATTGTATTACAAAATGTTTATACGGTTATTTCTAGTGGAGATGAGTGCAACAACGCACTCCGTAAAAGCCCTTAGAATTTTTGTTTTTGTTTTGATTTGAAGTATTACATATTTAACAGTTTTGCAAACTCAGCTTTATTTTTCCTTTTTTAAAAGCTTTTTGCCCCCAAGGCGATGATCCCACTGCTGGCTGTTTAGCTAGCGATTGTGCAACATATGGAGCTTTCAAACGTATACTTACGTGTTGCGCCTCGTGTACGACCGAATCTAGTCCCGCTACGAGCCCACAGACATCCCCAACTACCAGCCCGACTGCCTCTCCCACAACAGCCCCGATCATTTCACAAACTACATCGCCTACAACATCCCAAACTACCAGTCCGACTACATCACCAAGCAACATCCCCAACTACCAGTCCGACTACATCGCCAGTAACATCTCCAGCTACAAGTCCCACTACATCTCCAGCCACATCTCCAGCTACCAGTCCGACTACATCTCCAGCAACATCTCCAGCTACCAGTCCGACTACATCTCCAGCAACATCTCCAGCAACATCCCCAACTACCAGTCCGACTACATCGCCAGCAACATCTCCAGCTACCAGTCCCACTACATCTCCAGCAACATCTCCAGCAACATCTCCAGCTACCAGTCCGACTACATCTCCAGCAACATCCCCAACTACCAGTCCGACTACATCGCCAGCAACATCTCCAGCTACCAGTCCGACTATATCTCCAGCAACATCTCCAGCAACCAGTCCGACTACATCTCCAGCAACATCTCCAGCTACCAGTCCGACTACATCTCCAGCAACATCTCCAGCAACATCCCCAACTACCAGTCCGACTACATCGCCAGTAACATCTCCAGCAACATCCCCAACTACCAGTCCGACTACATCACCAGTAACATCTCCAGCTACAAGTCCGACTACATCTCCAGCAACATCTCCAGCTACCAGTCCGACTACATCTCCAGCAACATCTCCAGCTACCAGTCCGACTACATCTCCAGCAACATCTCCAGCAACATCTCCAGCTACCAGTCCGACTACATCTCCAGCAACATCTCCAGCAACGTCCCCAACTACCAGTCCGACTACATCGCCAGTAACATCTCCAGCTACCAGTCCGACTACATCTCCAGCAACATCTCCAGCTACAAGTCCGACTACATCTCCAGTAACATCTCCAGCTACCAGTCCGACTACATCTCCAACAACATCTCCAGCAACATCCCCAACTACCAGTCCGACTACATCGCCAGTAACATCTCCAACTACCAGTCCCACTACATCTCCAGCAACATCCCCAACTACCAGTCCGACTGCCTCTCCCACAACAGCCCCGATCATTTCACAAACTACATCGCCTACAACATCCCAAACTACCAGTCCGACTACATCACCAGCAACATCCCCAACTACCAGTCCGACTACATCGCCAGTAACATCTCCAGCTACCAGTCCGACTACATCTCCAGCAACATCTCCAGCAACATCTCCACAAGTCCGACTACATCTCCAGCAACATCTCCAGCTACCAGTCCGACTACATCTCCAGCAACATCTCCAGCTACCAGTCCGACTACATCTCCAACAACATCTCCAGCAACATCTCCAGCTACCAGTCCGACTACATCTCTAACAACATCTCCAGCAACATCCCAAACTACCAGTCCGACTACATCTCCAGCAACATCCCCAACTACCAGTCCGACTGCCTCTCCCACAACAGCCCCGATCATTTCACAAACTACATCGCCTACAACATCCCAAACTACCAGTCCAACTACATCACCAGCAACATCCCCAGCTACCAGTCCGACTACATCGCCAGTAACATCTCCAGCTACAAGTCCGACTACATCTCCAGCAACATCTCCAGCTACCAGTCCAGCAACATCTCCAGCAACATCTCCAGCTACATCTCCGACTACCAGTCCGACCATATCGCCAACAACAGCCCCGATTGCTTCACAGACTACATCCCCAGCTACAAGTCCCACCCCAGCACCTACACCATCCCCAGCTACCAGTCCCACCCCGTCGCCTACAACAACCCCCATCATTTCACAGGCTACATCGCCTACACCATCCCCAGCTACCAGTCCTACCCCATCGCCTACAACAGCCCTGGTCGTCTCCCCGGTTACTAGTCCAAATCCCCCAATTGTGGAGCGTTACGTTAACCTAATCTGTGACGCTTCATTTGAATCCTTTGAATCCTTTGAATCCTTTGAATCTTTGGAAAGTTTGAAAAGTTTGGAAGATTTAGAATCAGAGTTGGATGATTTTCCCAATTTTGGGGGTATCTTCACAAGATATCCGCGTTTTGGACCATGGGGGAAGAAGTGATTCCGAAAGAAAGAACAGTTTTAATTCATTGCCGGCGTTATGTGTAGTCATTAATTTCTGCACGCTCACCACTTTGTTCGTTATCTAGCTTCCTGATAACTGTCCTACCACACCCAATAGTTTTTTCAAGCTAAACACGAATTGTGTGTGCTCGAGACACACATGCTTGAAATTACCACTGTACGGCGTGTTTTCATCATTATTTTGTGTTTCCGGTGTTGTCTCACTTGTATGACTATATTCTAGATCTTTGATTTGCGGACATTCTTCTTAACATCGCAATCATTCGTCGAATCTTGACGTTTTCATTCCCTCATTTTGTTTCCAGCAAGTATTTGAATGTTTGTCATGTAAATATTAAATTATTTATTAGTCTTCCACCCTTTATTTCTTCCACGTTTTTGTTTTTTTTTTTTTAGTCTGCGTATTCAGTACTTATACCTTGACTGCAATAGCCACTATTATTGTATTGGTATGTACATCTGTAAATGTATTCATATTGCTAGTCAACGTTATCAAAGTTATAAAACGATTGAGCACTAAAAAACATGAATAACAAAATATTTATCATTAAAAATATAAAAATAATTTCATTTGATGAAAATAAAAGGTAATTTACATATTTTGTATAGAAGAAATATACCATATCAATAATAGAAAAAAAATATAACAATATTGATAATAAAAAAGAGACAAATAAAACATTATTAAAAAAAAGGGCAACATGGTCCTGTAATGGGCCATAAAATACATTGAATGCCCTTTATATAATTTCATGATAGCTTTAAGTTTCTGTTATGAATGCAAAAGAATATGCAGTGTATATTAATAATAATGAAAATGATACAAAAATACAAGAAGAATAAGCATTGGTCCTGTAATGAGCAATGAAATAAATTGAATGCCCCTTTTATAATTTCATGATAGCTTTAAGCTTCTAGAAAATATGATATATAATAATAAATGATGAAAATAATCATATTATCAAATAATGAAAAATAATATTTATGGTTATGTATTGCTTTCTTTGAGATCATAATATCGTGGAATTATTCGTAATACTAGATCATAATATTGCCCCACCCCCTCGTCATCTCGACCAACATACACAGATCCATGACACTTTGTCATAATAAGAATAGTTTTGACTAGAGAGCGTCAGACCTGGCAAATTGTTTTGATTCGTACCCTTCATCTCCAGAAAGAGTTATCCCCTTTACTTCCTCCTGAACACCAAACATCACCTTACTCTGGATTCTAATCCTAGGAATAGCAGTGATATAACTGGTTGAAACGTCACCAGACATCACCTTATTTGGATATCCCAATGAACTCCTTCTCTTCTGATTGATGTTTGGTGCTTATCTAAATATCTTCCCAAGCATTCCAAATTCGAAACACGAATATCTGAGACCTCCCAGAAAAGGATCTCCGGAACATTCTCATATGTTCGAAAAAATAGTGGCATCACTTGGTATGCTGAAAATGGGAAAATGTTTTAAGAAGATGCTCCTTTTGGAGATGCAGGCTGATGTTATCACAGGATCGCTTGTGGATTTTAATGAAATCATCTTCAAAGCAGTAAGATTTTGATTCTTTACGTCTCATTTCCGAAGTTAATTGTCCTATAACTCTACTCCACAATGAGCAAAGTGCACCCTTTATATCGTTTATTGCAATGGTACCTTTGACGGTATTTCACCAGCTTCCTTTGCATACATCAACGTATCGATGGGATTCTCCCTAATGTGAGGGTAGAGCTGCGCGGTCTCTTCTTCGGCATCATGTTTGTACAAGTAGCTCTTCTTATACAAGTTCCAGAGCTCCTCGATTAAGTCCCTCATCACCAACGGAGTGGAGTTCGTGCAAACGACACGCAGCAAAAACACACCATCATCTCGGAGATACCGATTAACGAAGGTCTTCACGTGCGTCCTGTTCTTTGAGACGTCCACAAACATCCCTAAATACTTCTCAACGTACTGGATGCGGTTCTTTCTAAAGGTTACTTTATAAAACCATCGGATTAAACTGTAGCAGTTTACGGCTGCGACTATGAACAACCAAAACCAAATGAAGATGAAAATTTTTTCTAAAAACAGATTGATGGGAAGAACACATTGGGTGGTATGCGGTTGTACGTTCGCCAGTTGTCGTATCTTGTAGTCGCAAAAGGTAACTTTCGGGAATCTCTCTGACTCCGGCATCTCTCCGGCTTCGCTTAAATAATAAATCACCTCAAATCCATATACACTAAAATTGGTGCCTAGGAAATGATTCAACAGGAAAAATTGTCCGACAACGTTTGCAAAGTACAAGATTTTGGTAAAAAGGTACAATCCTACTAAATATGTCCCGTTTTTCGATCCAAGAAAGAAGAACACGATTCCTAAACGACTTATTTTACTGCGCAGGCGTGAGAAGAAATGGTAGTGATGCTCGCGCTTGTAGATCAGCCATCTTGAAATATGTTCTGCCAGTTGCTTGATAGTGGTGTCCCGCGATTCTATATCGCCAAATTGCGTGCTTTCAGCTAAGGAACCGATCTTGGTGATGTTGACGCCGGAATTTGTATTCAGAGCCCGCCATATCAAATTTGGGCATTTAAAGAGTAAGATTTGAAACATGAGAATGACTGGAACCCATTGGTAATACTTGATCTCGTTCATTTGGCGCTCCTTCTCATATTGGGGAATGGGTTCGTCAAAACTCACTCGGTATGTGTTCTTGATCCAGCACAGGTTCTCTACATAGTCCTTCTGAAATAGAGAAAGAGGAACGACCATTTAGTTTAATAGCATAACCAAGGACTACATTATCGAGGGCTTACTGCTAGAAGCTGAACATTCCTTTTCGAAACCTCGGGCATTTAGAAAATCAACATTGATATGATGACCATACCAGCCAGAGTTGACAGACATGAACACCTCAAATTATGCTTACCAGTGTCACCAGGTGTTCCGAAAACCTCAGAGAAAAATAGACATGTGTATGTACTTACTCGATCCTTTTCAAGGCATTGGATTGGATCACCGGCAAATTGCTTGGTGGTCACGAAAACGGCGAACAAACCAAAAAGAGCGACGGTGATGACATGATTCAATCGATCCACAAAATCATCATCTTGTATTGTATTGATACCAGTAACCTTGGCAACAGATCCAAATACTGCAGAAACTATTCCAAGCCTAGAAATAGAAATATATTACTGTACAGAATACTAAAATGACATCTGCTCTTTCATTATAGCATCAAGCTTTGAATGGGCACACTGTCTTGACGGCGCCTCCGTGAGCTTTCTTTGACAGCACCTCCGTAAGTTGTCTTTGACAGTGCCTCCGTAAGTTGACTTTGAAAGTGCCTCCGCAAGTTGTCTTGTTTTTCGCCACAGACGCACCAATGTGTAATCGACAAAATAATCCTTGACAATTTTGCTGAAACCTCTCACGTCATTGAGACCTCAAGCGCAGAATGGCATGCTATAATATATGGCTGACTTACATTCCTTATTAGATAATATATGATAAATTGTTCACTTTACTCCTTTTCGAGAGTCTCTCGATTAATGCCGCAATATTTTAAAATACAAGCAAGTATACAGTAAAGCGATAAGGTCCGGTCACGTGATATAGGAGTGACACTGCCAATTTCTATTTCTTCATAATGGGAGTGGCTTTTTTCGTCATTCTTGGTCACCCAATTCACAGATTGCATAGTAATTTTCCTATTACTATTGTGTAGCTATTTCCGATTGACAATTGGTATTGGTCTTGAAATAAACGGAATATTCTTAGAAACTGAGTTGAATTAATATGAACTTCTGTATTGTATTTAAATTATTATAAATATTCCAGAATAAAATTTAAATATCTTAATGCTTAAAACCAAACTTAACGAAAAATTTATAAATTTATTTATTTATTTATTTATTGTAATTTCTGAGTCTGTGATTATTTCAATTGTATATTGGTCGATTTTGTTTATGTCTTATATTTATGGACTGACGAATTTGTTTCTTTCGATCAAAATAGAATATCGAACATTTAATTGCTATTGAACTAACGTTTAATGTTATTTGCCTATTGTGAACGCGGTTTGCGTCAAGGCGAACCATTTAGCCCTTCTCTTTTCTATTAATGCATTAATGAATACGACAAAATAATTATGGCGAATGTATATATTGTTGAATGTTTTTTTGTGTTCGATTTCTATGAAATTAAAGTGGGGATATCAACAAAATCGAGTTCTTGACTGTCCCCAAAATTTAAACATTCGACTTAGTATTTAGGCATAAGGCATAAAGTATTTCCTTTTTTTCCATTAAAAAAATTAACCCCCAATTCGTTGTTGTTTGATGGGTTTACATCTATAACAGATCTCATGACATATTTTCAATTTGAGATATTGTATCTTTAATTTGGAAAAGTAAGAAACATTTTTGGACCTTGACATTTTTTGGACATGTAAATAATGTTACTGTTCGAAATTGTGTAATTCGAAGGATCAAAATGTCCGTAAAGACGATGTTGATGATCTTTTGTTTATGTTTATTAGTTGATTTGTCTTCTGGAATGGTAAGGATTTATTTGTTCAATCATTTGCTCTGTTCAAACAGCCGTCTTTTCTTGGGCCGAAAAGTGTTTATAGTTAGCTGATATTCCCTATTGAGATTATATATACGCAATGGGTATCGAAGAAATAGTGGTTGTGAGGGTGTGTGTGTGTGTGTGAGAAAGAGACAGAGAGGGGGGGTGCCTGCTACCACCCCATCCCGTCAATCAAGTTTATGTCGGACACCAACAAAGGTATTATTTGGTGTTCTTATGTCACGAAATATGGGATAGCCACTTAGACAATTTCAATGAATTTGTTATAACATTTTAGTCAAAATCCGTCTTATTGTATAGGATTGAATGTAACTAGTGTTGTTTGTCCTATGAGAAAGTTCACGTAGGTTTATAAACAGGATATGTGTAAGATGATATACTCCCGCTATATGACCGTTTTACAGATATTGACGGGTGCAGTGTGTGCATTCGAAGCATAGTCTTTCAAATGTTTAAAGTATATAATCATCTTAGATAATGTTTCTGATTTTGGTTCTATATGTCCGTTGGATTCAAATAAATGGAAATGAGCAATATTGGCCAATTCTGAGAAATTTTGATGTCGGCCATTTTTAGCCATTTTGTTAATTTTATAAAAATGCTAATTTTTCCTAAACAAAACAAGATATTTGACCGAAATCCTTTGGACTCAAATGGCCAACCATGGCATTTAAATATATAAACTTATGATACAAGATTTCCGCCATTAAGATAGACAATCCGTTCTATGAAGTTTGTCCTCAAAGCTATGACGACAACGGAAGCCATTAGATAAGAGTACTCATTCCCATTTGAGGTTTTGCTGACTAATTTGGCGATGATATGGACAAAGTGCATGTCAAGTATTCAATAAAGTGGATATCGGGGAAGGGCGGGTTTGATTCTTCCTATAGCACAGGCCCAGGATGGAACAAATAATGTATTAAGAAATTGGTATAAGTGGCCTGGAACTGCTGGGTAATTTACAGCGAGTGTTAGCTCAATTAGGAGCAGAAAAATGCAATTCAATTCATTTCATTTTCAGATTATTATACGCATATTTCTAAATTTAGCTTTAAAATAAGCCCGACCAATTTTTTAACGATTTTCTTTCTTTTCCAGATACACACCATCACAGCTGGAGTAAATATACCATGGTCGATCAAAGAGAGCGAGAAGTCACCACAGAAAATATGTTTCACGTGCACAGAACCTGTATCCATTGTTACCATTACTCCGACCTACTGCTCGGCTTGTTTTGATGCTTGGGAGGACGGTAAGTGTTCAGAGGAATCAGTTGTTGCTGGAGGTACTCCCCTATTTTCAAAATTGTAAAATCAAGCCATATCCTCTCATTCGGAATAAATGGTCTGCATCCCCCAAATAAATTGGATTTTTTTGTATTGATAGGGACATTATCCTGAAAAAGACACTGACATAAGATGTTGGCCCTTTTTGGGTCACTTTATGAACAAGATCAGGGTATCCCGGTCTCTTTAAAACTTTGGAATGCCACGCCTATTTCTCAAATCAGTCCAATTCTTTTACTTACCCTAGGACCATTTTTGTTAATGAATTTCAGGGTCCGGCAATTGCGTATACTACCTCCCCAGAACTACCATCTTGAATTACATCAGAGCTTCGTCTTATAAGATCAACGTTAAATGCGAGGACAGTGGATCCCCAGTAACAGCAACAGTCAACCTGAACGTTATACCCAATTTCCCGCCAACATTTGACGAGGAGTCTGGTCAAATTATCTCCCTTGATACGACTTTAAAAGCTGGAAGCCTTGTCAAGACGATCGCGTTCACTGATGCAGATGACACCATATATACCTTTACCTTATCCGAATCTCCGAATAACGGATTCTTCCGAATTACAAGTAAGTATCTATATTAGTTGGGATGTGAAAAGACGCTTTCACATTTCACTTCCCGCTAATGTAATTTCATATAACAGCTTCTTGTTTCTTAATGATTAATCCATCTAATGACTATATATATATATAATATGAATATATAGCGTTGTTGTTAGATCATGAGACAGACCTGTTCGTTGAGGCAGGTCTTCAGGTCTATAAGAAAGAGTTTGAGGTGAATCATCAGACGCAAAAATATGAACTCTTGACGTCAAATATAATGCCACCTTCTTATGTAGAAGTTCAGTAGATCAAATTTATGTCCATTGCTTCCGTTACCGTTACTGTTAAAATAGTCAAGTGGTCAACCGTCCGTTTCCTTTTTTAAGATACTGGTGAGATACGAGCTATCAAAGACTTGAACACATTCTGTGAAGAGGAGACAGTGGAGATATCACTCTCTGACAATCACAACGCTCCTGTATATTTCTCGATTAGATACGACCCAGGTGAGTAGCCATTTTAATTCATTGCCCATAACCCTTGTCCTTTATGTTGCAACTGGCACCATGTCCTAGACTTAGTGGATCTGGAATATATGCCACAGGGTGGTTCACTATTACTAATTGTCTATTGAGAAGATAACTGACATCTCTGCCCAATAGCAGCTTTTGGTAAGTAAACCCCATATCCCAATGAAGCGTACGATATATCAGCTTAGCTTGGTTAGTCTTGTATATAAAACTGAGGGTAACCACAGCAAGCTATGCACAAAAGCAAACTGTGCAAAAAACTAACTTAGATACGGTATTTGCAATTGCTTATATTTAGTAAATCTTAGATTTGTGCTCTGTAGTGGCCAACTATTACTAGGTAGAAAAAATGGGGTGTCGTTAAGCCATATCCTACAGCAAAGTCAAATGCTTAATATACTTCCTCTACTGTAGATCTAAGATCAGTCAACTATTTTCCAGGCAGCAATGTGCGACCTGTCCTGAAGGACTGGAACAGGATCATCAACTATCCAGAAAACAAATTGGTGGTCCTATACATCGATGACAAGCTGGCAGATGGCAATGGTTCGTCGTGTATCGTCCGGTCGAATCCACCAGGACTCTCGGATCTTGGTGGTGATTTGTCCATGGGGTATTGTCCGAATGGCGTAAATGCAAGTAAGTTTTATATCATTTATTTGAATGGAATCATGCGGATACGTGGAAAGGGGTGTGGGGGACAGTGGCGGAGCCAAAGGGAGGGGGGGGGGGGGATTGGTAGAGGGGGCAGTACTAAAAGCAAAATTTTGGGCAGAACTGTGTTAGAAATTCGGGCCCCTCCCCTCCCGCCACTGGTCGGAAAAGGGGTGTGGGGTGGTGGAAGGACAGTAGTTTGCTTGTTTTTTTACAGTTGTGTGCATCAAAAGGAATTTTTGATTTTCGTAAGGGAAGAAATAGTCGTTGATGAAAGACGGATCCAACCTCAAATAGATCCTTCTTCGTTTAATAAGCATCAAAGTATCGTAACATCCAATGTCATTTTTCAGGATCAAGAGTAACGATAACAAATCCTTCAAAATACAACTTCGAGACGGACCCTCCTATTAATCTGACGCTGCAGTACGCCAACGGCAACTGCCCTTCCAATACTCGCTGGTTGGCCATCAACTGGTTGGATGTACCCGAGAGACCAACCTTAGAGGTCACCAAGCCGGAATACAACGCCAATGAAGGATTTGTGAGTTTTGTTTTATTTGATCTGACCAATGTCTTTTCTGTAGATTATATACTACATTGCTTTCATATTGGCCCACCTCGAATCCAGTTAAGTCTCTCTATCTAAAACTTAAAGCTTCCAAAAGTCAGTAAAGAAAATTCAGGGCATTCGTGGTTTGTTGTAGGTAAAAGTGAAACCCAATTATGTAATCACAGACGAAGACCTAAACGAGAAGCACACGTTCCGTTTTACTGGCAGTGTTAACAATAATTTTGATATCGATGCGAACACTGGCAAAATCTTCACAAAAACGTATCTGGCAGCTACTTCTGAAGTTGACATCTACACGTTTAATGTAAAGGTCGCAGATAAAGACGGATTGGAATGTCTATTTGCTGTTACGATCACTATCCGAGTAGCGTAAGTTATTATTTTCTAGGAGGGCATAGCCTGGTTCTATAACATCTCAATAAATGGCATGGGAATGGGGGTGCTTTTTCAATATAATCGATATACTCGGGCATATGTTCCTTTCCGTTTTTTTTCTTTTCCAATTGTTTAGAAATCTGTACAACATGTCTCACACTGAGATTCGGTTTTCTCAATTCTCAACGACGCTTTTCGATAACTAAAAACAACTTAAACAAATGGACATGTAAATGAAGGTACTGTTTATTTTTTTGTAGAGATGTGAATGATCATGCACCGGTGCTAGGCACGGTTCCTGAGAGGTACCAAGCTACAGAATGTAATGGTCCACAGAAGTTCCTCACAGTGACTGCCACTGACGATGACTTTGGTATTAATAAGAAGTTCAAGTTTGTAGCCACAACATCTGGGAGTCTGTTCATCAACGAAGCTGGTGAACTGTATTTGATCAAACCAGTAATTCCAGGTGGGTTTTCACAGCAGCTTAGTCCGCAGTTAATACTAAAATATTAGCTTGCGCATTCATACTTCGACGGGGTGCTTGGCAATTGCAGGAGTGATTTAGCGCTTCTTCATGTCACTTGTAACGATACTCATTCGAGCTTTGACCTCATGACATCATCAGATATTCCCACCAATTAAAACCGCCGTTCTAAAGATTCTGTCGTTTGCAGGTCAGCAGGATATCTTGAATGTCCAAGCAGTAGATCGAGGCGAACCAGCCCTCTTCAGTGCTAAAAAGACGGTGACCCTTTACGGTATAAACTGTCCGACAACACCAACGGTACCACCACCACCTACCACGCCTCTATACGTACCTCCACCTACTCCTCCGCCTACGACTACACCAACGACGACGACTGAAACGCCACAGTCTGAGGGAGCAAGTACTATGGTACATTTTTGGTTACTTATTGCTGTGTTATCATTGAATCTTTTGGTATAGTGTAATCAACGTCGCACAATACCCCCCCTTACTACTACATTTCACATCCACATTCAAATGAGGATTTTTGGTTACAAAAATTGATATACCTTTCGGACATTATTGACGGTAATATGTAAACATTCTCTGATTTCATTCAAAGGATTCCAATAAAAGTCCTATAGATATGGGCTTGGATAATAAACACTAAAAGCTCTGACGTCACTACTCCCACGTAAGATAACAAGTCTGTCTCAAATGAATTGTGATATTACTCTCTGTGATATTTTATTTTATATACTGCATTAAAACCATACAGATAGCATGCTACCCTTTCAACCCGTCCGAACACTTACTTTTACGTCAACGCGACTTTCAATTGCCTGTGAACGCAATAAAGGCAATAAATTCCATTTTAACGAAACATGGAACTGTTATAAATAAATCAAGTATTAACGATCCGAACCGCAAAACGAGACCTGGAATCCTAACAACATATACTGGCAAAACACTGGTAGCAGCTAATGAAGGAGTATATCAATCATAAATGAGTAAGTATTTCATAATGAAAAGTGGTATCAGATGTCTAGAAGAGTTAAATATTGACGATTGGCCAATTCCACTGTAAGATTTTGCAGTGGAATTTTCTGCTGTGTGAGGGTATACTATATATATAAGATGGTCGTCTCGTTTAAATTTGGGACGATCCAGTTTATTGATTTGGATCTTCCAAAGACAGGAGCGTATGTTTTGATGGACCAGGGCGGACAGGTAGAATTAGCCCACGATCCACTCTCTGCCCTGAAATCCGCTATGCATTGAAATAAAAGGACGATTTTTTGCAAAAAATTATTTTCTTTAACGTAACAACAACAATAACAGTAAAGAACTTCCACAGGCTTCGTTTTAGCAATTTCACTTCCTATTCTGTTGCTTATTCAAAAAACGGTGGTCAGAGGCCTGAAGTGCATACTCTTTTCTTCAGAGAGATTGATAAGAGGTTTCCTAAAAAAACATTACGTGTATCGGGGACTAAATAGCATCAATTTGCAACATTCCGATTTTCAATCAGACTTCTTTGGTTCCTGCAATTCCACAAAAGTGTTTGATGACGTCACTAATCGCAAAATATACTCGGATCACATAGGCCCTTCGCGATTAGTGAACAAATCCTCATAAATTAGAAAACCTCTTTGCAGTCCCTTTAAGATAACGCAGTAACTGGGTTTTGCGGAATATTTGTAGCTATACCAAAGGGGATATTAAAAGTTCAAACCGCCAATGCGTCATTGGCCCCTCAACTGTTGTTACTATAGAAAAACTAAACCACTGTAATATTATCGGGAAGTCCTAAATGACCGCCAATGTGACTTTTTTGAATTTCTGGTATCACGCTTATGGAACGTCGTATTTGTTAATAATGATGATGATACCAGATGACGGATCTAGCAATCATCTTATTTGTTACTTAATATCGCAATTAATTTTCAGCCAATCATAAAAATTACTATTACTGAGCTAGAAGATTGTAAGCGGTTTCCGAAAACCACACATATATGAACACATCCTTTGAGTTTGGGTTTATTTTTCGATGTGCCTGTGCTCATTTTGTGTCATGCGTCCTATTCACCGAATGTCAAAGGTACTGGGTTTGTATGCAAAAGGGAAGATTTTCCACGTATCCTAACCAATCATTACGAAGCTGTGACCCCCTTTGCGTATCTTGGGAGGTGGTTATGTATCCATTCAAATTAAGCACTAATAACACACTGACTGTAAAGTAAAGTTAACAATGGACGAAAGCTTTTCAAACGAATGCCTGTGGGTGCACTTAAATTGTCAAAAAGTTGTTACGATTTTTTCACGTCTTCATTGTATTGTCGACTTTACATTCTTTTGAAATCAGCCTAGATATTGCAGTCTCTGACGGAGTTCCATGCTTTCCAGTCGATCCCTCCGCTGATTTTCGGACACAAGAAGATCAGCTAAAGATGACAAGGCGCCATTTATGGACAGACGTCCTGCTCGTTTGGGATTCCCCACTTCCGTTTTGTAACCGGAAATGACATTGTCTCTGCCGTTTTCTGGATCATTTTTAGACCAGGTTTTCACGACGGTTTTTATCCTTACATTCTCGTCGTCATCCATATCCGGTCGTTCCGTCTTCGATAATTTTCGTATGCGATTTGATGTTTCATGGATCAGATTTATAAGATTTTTAAGAGAGACTTGTTGTTGGTGAATGTCCATTCTTTTCTTTTGGTCACTGAACATGCTTTCCAATCTTTCCCGGTAGAGATTTTGGTGGTCTGGATCCGTTCCAAAATAGTTTTCATGAAATGATGCTTTCGAGTCCTGGATTCTATCGTCTGGTATGTCCGAGGCTGATCTAATATGTCTACTACTTTCACTTTTTCTATTCATAGAATAGCTGTGAGCGTCATCAACTACGAAAATGAATAAACATAACACCAATACAGACAGGCTTTTGTTCATGTTCCATTCCATCTTCATAGCTGAAAAGATAAAATAAGACCATGCTAAAATATATTTAGCCTACATATGCGCGTAATCACTAAAGCGAATATTTTCCGAAGATAAAACAGTTTCAAACAGCTATACGTGTAATGAACGCCGCTTTCCATCTTCAAATTGGCATGCTTTCTGTAAATGAAGCAGGTACATTTAAGAATTTGGATAACAAATTTGTAGACAAATCAAACAGGTCCACAAGTTGCTATTGAAAGCAACTTCTATTTCAGATATCCTAACCAACGGATTAAGTAAACTTTGATTGACATTCCTCATTACAAGATATGAAGGTATCAAAACAGTCTAAGCAATGTAAATTAGGAACGAGTAGACAAATCGAACATATCCGGAAGTTGTAATTGTAACAGTTTCTGTTACAACTGCCCAAAACAATGGTTCGAATATATGAGCAGTAATTATACGTAAAAAAAATTACATGTGAAAAGCACGTCTATTTTGGCCAGGTGTTCAGTTCATTATTTACATATTAAAGGTGTGAACACTTAGTGAGTAAAATGACAGTTATTGTGAACATTTAGTCTGACAGAGTAACCTACATAACGGGTAAGTTATTTGAGAATGATGTAATGTGTGACCTAGTTATCAAACGCACGTGTATTCGAGTTGCGTTCGTTATACCCTGTTCTACTACACCCTATTGTCATTCGTCGTTAATGAAGAGTCTTTTTAAACAATGGTTACTCTATAAATGCTCACTTTGTCCGTTCGTCTTTAAAGGAAGGTCTTTTCTCAAGTCTTAAACAACTTTTTACCTAATTTGAAACTGATCTAGTTATTCTATTCGTATTTCCCGGGGCCATTCCACCCACCCTCCTTCCTCAAGAACTGGATTTTAATTTGATTAATGAATTCTTGAAATAAGATACAATTCGATTGTCAACTTTTTCGTTGGTCTTCATCCGTTCATTTCTTTGTAATGCAACTGTGGATTTTCATGCTGAAACTGAGTTTCGTCCGTGCATGATGCTTTAAGAAAATTGTTGTCAAAATGACATAAGTGAATGATTAAATAAATAAAATAAATAAATAAATAAAAACTCAATATTTTAATGGTCTTCCGGCTTCGCTATTGGCTTGTTGTTGTTCTTGTTATTAGTCTTTTGTTGTCATCGTTTCCGATATCATGAGCACTATATTTTAACAGTGAACATATTTTATTGTTTTAATTCTATACATGTATTATAAGTAATAAATTACTTTCATTACTTATATAAGAAGAATAGGGTTCACATAGTACGTTCTTATACATTTTTTATAAGTTTTATGTCTTTGTTTTGAACGATCTTCATTATCCCGAATATGTAGTTGTATAGAAGTAGGACGTTGAGCGCTATTTCATTTTGTGAAACACTTGCTTTAAGTGGAATTGCAGGAACTACAGACGTCTGATTGAAAATTAGGATGGTGCCAATTGATGCTATCAGTGTCCCCAACAACACTATCCCTTTTTCTGGTATTCGTAATGTTATTGATGGAAAGCAATTTATATCATGTCTGTTTTTGAAGCTAGTTGTTTTCATGTTAAATTGGCATCGAACGCTAGACTATTAGTTATGTACTTAATTTGGTTACAGATATTGTCTTCTGCCTTTAAATGTTCAAATTAAGCTTATAAATAGATTATAAGATATTACCTTGACAATTATATTGATAGGGGATCGATCGTTTTAAAGGGATGTTGCAAATTAATTTTTTCTTATGGATTTTGACAACCCCTTTAATGGAATTGTGAAATCTAATTAAATTTTTTTCAGGTGAAAGTCCCTCGTTTGATAAAATTTGCTCATATTCCAATTTTCAAAAATCGATCATATTGATTGGTTAATATGACTAAGTTTTGAAAAAAGAAGTTATGGACCAATCAAATGAAACTTGCCTCAGTTCGCTTTAGTTTTTTCTGAACAATTTCAATATCAGATGAGAAATTCATACTGGGACTTGTCAACTTTAAAACTTAAAATCAATGGAACGGAAATGGTTTTTTAGACGGCAGACGCGATTCTAACCTACAGGGCAAATTATATTCCTACTTTCAATTTTATTGTTGACACATCTAATAGAAATATCTTCTGATTTTTCAAATGTTGACTTTTGTAACAAATTTTAACAAAATGGTGTTAATACAAGTTACAATTAACTTCCCTAGGCGGGTTGTAGCTCAATCGGATAGAGCGCTTAAGTTTAATGACTTGCTTGATTATGTCGGGAAATGGCGGTCATGGAATTTTTGTATGTGAAAGCCTTAAATATGCCACCTTTTTATCAACAATCGTCCTTCTTCCAAGAACATACTAGTACCAGTTACTTCCCTTGAAAGATGAAAATTGTTCAGAACATACTTTTTAAGTTTGGTGGTTCGTTCAAGGTTGGTTTATTGGTCTTCTGTAAGGAGAATTTTATATCGACAAGTTGTATCAAGGGATAAATGGTAAAAACTCGTACTACCTGTGTTAAGGCAAGCTGTTGATCATTTATCTTGCTGCCTGTCATGGATCATCCCGATGTTAAGCGGTACTTAACAGGGATAATAGATTGTCCAAAGGTCATTAGAGTCTGAGTGTACTGTAAATATCACAGGTCGGCATCACACGAACTCAGTGTGTCTAAATTGGGAATGTCGCTGTTATTGC